TTGGGTTTTGGGTCAAATGCAATAACTGATGATATAATAGTTAAATAATAATTTTTTCAGAAATAAAAAGTACAAGTAATCAAAAGAATATATTAAAATTTATATATTAATTATGTCAAACAAAAATTAAGTATGATAAGTAAAAATTATTTATATGATATAGATGATATATAATTTAAAAAAAATCCAAAAGTAAAGCTATTTTCTTATCTAGAGGGTGGATTAATAATCCAACTTTTCAAAGAAATTCATGATGTCATAATTGAATAATAAATATTTTAAAAAAATAAAACACAAACAATGAAAAAGCACAAAATTCTGTCGCATTTGAGAACATTTACAATGCTATGTATTCATCATAATAAATAAAACCCTTATGTAATTATACCAAAAGCCATAGATTACCACGTAAATTTGGGAAAGAAAAAAGAGTAGTACTGTAATTATACCAAGTGATTTATTGAAAGGTAGTTGTGTCTTTTTTTCTAGTTCCACTACTAAATTATCGTATTTTAAAATTCGGATATTAAATTGACACTCGAATTTTTCCTAATTTATATAAATATATCCAAACAATGCCCACACCTGCAGCAGAGAGCATTATCTTCTTACATCATCATGCGATTCTTTTCTTTTTTGATTTTTTCCTTCTCATTTTTCCGATTGGCGAGGGTATTGATGTGTTGGCAACACTCTTCACCCTCAATGTCAATGGTCTGTATTGGGTTTGACGATTGTAGTATAAAAATTTATAACTAATCAACCGGTGGTATGAAGGTGGCACAACTGGCTAGTTAAGGTGTCTCATTAATTATAGTGATATCTCAAAAGAAACAATTCATTGAGAAGATTTGGGATATGGGTTTGGGGATGGACTACCGGCAGATGTATTGTCCCATCAAGCCAAACACAAAACATCATTATCCTTATCAAATTCACATAAGGGTTTGATTGGTCAAAGCCTTATCATATCACTGTATTTCATGTCCACCCATTTTATGTTATGACATATCAAAAGTAATAAAAAGAAATCAGTCCACATGGTGAGTTGCTGTTCTCTTAAAACACTGCCATTTTTCTCCGGTGTTATGACGGCACCTCTGATGTGTAATAGCAAGTGACAATAACAGCAAACAAAAGATAGGGAAAGGAAAGGAAAGGTAAGAAAACCTTTACGATCCTTGTATTAGTTTTTTTGTCTTTCCCTTCCTTATATTTTCCTTGAAAACAAAGATAGTCTAAATGATCACCAAAAATCAATATAAAACATAAATCCAAATAGGTAAGTTTGACATTGATTATATGAAGAAATTTATCGGTCAGAAAATCACTATAAATCTTTACATCGATAATCGCCACTTTTTTAAACCAAAAAAATACAGAATTCCACAGTGCATAACTCCTCCCTCTCGGTATTTACTATTTACAGTACATCGTTGCCATGACGCCGTTAATGTTGTTGTTTAAATTTTAGGGCATGTCCATACTTTTCCGTAAATTGGGAGGATGACGGTTCAGTCCAGGGTCAGAATTCTTAGGCAAACAAAGTATAATTGGGGTAGGTGCCAGTTCGAAATTAATGTCAATTTATGGGCAGACTGATAAATAGAAGGGGGTATTTGACATTTTGAATTTTTATAGATCTACTGGAATTCAGAAATGTATAATGGGTAAATATTGACCGTTAGACAAGACCCTACCTGCTAAGTCAGGTAACCAAATGCATTAAACTATCAAAATACCTATTGGAGCTTTCTTTATTTTCTTTTTATTGTCCTTTTCTCTTAAACCTAATCTAACCTACATTCATCCTTTAAATTACTAAGGTGGTGGTTGATAAATCTGAAAATTCAGATCTGAAAAGTTAAAAAGATATTAAATGTCTAAAATCTGAAAAGACGCATAAATGCTTTTCTACTTTTTAGAGGATCTGAATCCATAAGTTTGTTTGTGTTGGATCAACCCTTTACCATCTAAAAATTACTGATTTTTACTATTTTACCCTTAAAACATACTATTTGGAAATGTTGAATTCAATTTACATTATCTCATAAAAAATAATTCTCAACCTCAAAATAATATTGAAACAATACAAATAAAAAATAAAAAATTAATAATTACTAATTAATGAATGAAATGATTAAAATATTAAAATAATTAATAATTTACACAAATAAAAACATTAAAATAATTTTTAAAATTAATGAAATAATTAAAAATTACTAGTTAATAAAAATAATTAATGTTTAATAAAAATATTAAAATAATTAATAATTAATAAAAATATTTTTACTCACCGAACCACCGTTGTTGCATGTTGCACCGGCAATGGTGATGGTGAAAACACAAGGGAGGGAGGGAGGGGGAGAGAGAGAGAGAGAGCGATAGCAAGAGCGAGAGAAGATAGGGGAAAGAGAGTCACCGCTGCAAGTTGTAGTGGCGGTGGCAGGAATACAGGGCGAAGAGAGCGAGAGAGAGAGAGGGGAAGAGAGAGAGTTGCCGCTGCAACTTGTAGCGGCAATGGCGGAAATACAAGGTGAAGAGAGCGAGAGGGAAAGAGAGTGAAAGAGAGAGAGAGAGAGAGAGAGAGAGAGAGAGAGAGAGGACAGGGGAAGAGAGAGAGCTGCCGCTGCAAGTTGTAGCGGCGGTGGTGAGAATACAAAGCGAAGAAAGAGAGAGTCGCCGCTACAAGTTGCAACTGCGGTAACAGGAAGACAGGGTTGAGAGAGAGAGAGAGACCGAGAGAGAGAGAGAGAATGAGAAGTCAAATGTTTAGGTTTTTTGGGTTTGTGGTTATTAGGGGAAATTCGCATCATTTCCAAAATATTGTAAGAATATTTTGGACTATGCACTGGCTCTCGAACGCGTCTGAGTGCGTTAAGAGCCAGCCCAAGGTCTATAATTTTTAGATCTGAAAATTAGATTCAAACCTAGTTTAAGAGGTACAACCAAACAAGGGGTTAGGTCTGAAAAGCAGCATTTTCAGATTCATACCTCTAAAAATTGCAATCTTTTCTCCCCACGGTCCCCTTGCTTCTCTTGCTAGAAAATGTTTTCTCAATGAAAATTTCCTGAGACGATTCAATTGAATGATGGAACAGTCAGTCATATGATGAGACTAGACTCTGGACTCCAATAGACTTTTGAATCGAAGCTTCAATTTCTTCAATCCCAATCGACATGTTCTTTCATTTTCTTGGACAAAGAGCTTCTTCAACTCCAAAAATGCAATTTTGTTTTCTCGTGTATAGATCAGCAATAAGCAAATCAGATGCAAAGCTTCTTCAAATCCAAATGCAATTTCTTTTTCTCATTTTGCAAATCAGGAAGTGAAACAAACATAGAGATTCTTCAACTCCAAATGCAATTTCATTTTCTCTTTCATTTCCTAAAAATTCGCCATAGCCAAATAAGAGCTGTTTTTCTTTTTCTTTTTTCACACTAATCAAAATGCATAAATAAGAGCTGGTTTGAGCTTTGATTAAGGATGGTGAGCCACTGAAACCCTTTCTCTCTCCCTCCCCATAAAGCATCACACTGTTGATATATCGCTGGGATCAGGGGCGGAGCTAGGATTTTTATTGAGGGGGGCCAAAGCATAATAAGCATGGATGGGGGGCCAAAAGATCAAAAACATGGATAAGAGGGGCAAAATATATATGTGATTTAAACAATTACTATGAGGATTTTCAAGGCATAAAGGCAGACATGGCTCCCCTTTGCCACCCCTGGTTGTGACATTTGGGCATCCACCAAAACCCCATAAATCCTATCCCTTTTGAGTCAAGGAAGACGAGCTTGGACTTGCCGTGACGGAGGATGGAGATGGTCTAGGCATCCAAGCGGGTATTGATAGTATTGATGGCAACACCGGCAATGGGGACAATGAAGTTGAGCTCGTACATGGCTGGGACACTCAGGAGTAAGATATAGACCACATCTCCTCTGTTGATGCCGAGCGAAGTGAGGCCTGCACGCACTGGCATTGGGTCGGAAACCAAGTGTAGGAGAAAGAGATGCAGTCATCGTAGATGGGTCTGAGAGCAGGTGTAGGAGATAAAGATGTAGTCACCATCGCCGGAGAAGAAGAAAATCCTCACCTTTGCTTCTGAAGCTTGAGCACGTCAGAGAGAAGAAAAAGGAGATAGCTCGGTAAAGCCAAGTTTTAAAATGATATGAAGAGTAAAATGGACTGAAAAAATTGTCAAAAGAGCAGTTTGGGTATTTAGAAATAGGGGTTTTAACTGTAATTTCAAATTTCTGAGGGGGAGTCTATTTATCCCTTATAAATATTGTAACAGCAAAATGCTAATTTTTTTCCAACATAACTGACGGAGGGGTTCTTTGTCTAACGATCAAAGTTCAAGGTTAGTACATTGTACTTTGGGCCAAGAGTCACTTTGGTCTTCAAATTTTAAAATGCAACAATTCAGCACCCCAATTTTCAAAACTGTCAATCTAGTACCTATTGGCCTAGTGTCACTTTGGTCTTCAAACTTTATAATGCAACAATTCAGCACCCGGATTTTCAAAGCGTGTCAATCCATTACCTAATCAGCAGTTAAATGGCATTTGAAAAAGATACAAATGCCTTTGGAATATCATCTAATTTTCTTTATCAACTATTTAAATGTTGACAAAAAATTAATAACCGTAAATTCTTCTCTTTTATTCAAGAAAGTTAGGGTCCAAAATGCCCATTGAGACGTTACCTTAACTTTCTTAGATAAAAAAACGCAAAGATTTGCGATTGTTAATTTTTTATCAACTTTAGATGTTTAAAAAGAAAATTAGATGACACTCAAAGGATATTTATATCTTTTTCAAATCGCATTTAACAACCGGTAAAATGTTGATTAACAGTAGATACTAGATTTATACAATTTAAAATTTTGAATATTGATTGGGGGATTAAAGTAACACTAGGCCTAAAGTACAGTACAGATACTGAAATTTTCATTCGGATCTTGTCCTATTTGATTGGGGTGGATCCATTTTCCAATCCTACACGTCGTGTTGCTACCTATATTAATTAACGAACGCAAATGGCAAATGGCAAATGGAGACTGTTCTCTCATCATGAACGACAAGATGAGAAGGAGAGGCTCAAGCGACGGTTGCATGAACACCCCTCCTTCTCCTCCTCCTCCTCTCCATTCGTTTGAGGTGTTGCGTCGTACGCCTCTGAACCGAGCTTTTGCACTCGTATATGCGACTGCCATCTCGGCTTTGCTCTATCGCCATGCCCTCTGTCTCCTCTCTAGCTCTGCAACTACCTTCTTTTCCTTCTCCCTTTCTTTCTCCTTGCTAATCTCCGACGCCGTTCTCGCCTTTATGTGGGTAGCCAGACAGGCCTTCCGGATGCGTCCCGTCCGTCGCAAGGTACTCATAGAGAATCTCAGTCGGGTCGTTGATGAGAAGAACTTCCCGGCGTTGGACGTGTTTATATGCACTGCCGACCCATTCAAGGAACCTCCGTTGAGCGTCGTTAACACTGCTTTATCAGTCATGGCCTACGATTATCCAACAGACAAGGTGTCTGTGTACGTATCGGATGACGGGGGTTCGCAGCTTACGCTCTTTGCTTTCATGGAAGCTGCCAAGTTTGCTACACACTGGTTGCCTTTCTGTAAGGAGTTTCGAATAGAGGAAAGGTGCCCCGATGCGTATTTTGGATCCACTCACAGTTGCGCCCAAACGGAGAAGATGAAGGTAAGTCCGATACAACGTGTGGGTCAAGATCCACCGCTATGTTGATATTCCGTGCATTTATGAGATGAACGGATTCCGCACATCATCTTCTCTAATTTACCAAAAAAAAATCTACTCTCTAATAGTCTAATTAAAAAAAAAAAAAAAAGGGATTATTATACTCCCCCCAAAACATGGCCAAATCCCACTTTATGATATCGATTATTTAAGGCTACGTTTGGGAACGGTAAAAAAACAGGTAGTAAATGCTGGGTGGTAACTGGTAAGCTCAAGTTTAAGAGTTTTGACCCGTCAATAAGGTTAAAAATATGTAGATACACACAAATTGGGTTAAGCCCAATTGCACTATTTTATTAAATTTTGATTAGTGTTAAGCATAGAAGATATAGACTCTTAATACTATKCTGAGTGGTGGAAGGAGGATCCAAATTCCAATCTACCGAGAAAAAAAGGCTGTACAACATGGATGCATAATCAATTCCCGCACATCTAAAACATAATTTGTACTGATTTGTTGTCATTGATGAGGTTGACATGGCAATCGTTTTTTAGATGTATGCTTCAAAACAGCTGCTTAGCTGAATCTTAGATTTGCTAAACAATAGACAAAAGTTTTACTGAAAACTATTAGTCATGAGTTTTCTTTCCTTTCCGGTTTCTAATTTCTTTTTTTTTTTCATTTTGGGGATAAATTATAGATTGCCACTTTGAAATTCAGATTCCAACAAATTCAAAGGAATCATTTTGCAAATGAAAGTTCAAGGGTAATTGCCACTACCCCTAAAGTTACGAATATCCCTTCTCTCTACCCATAAACCCCCAACCCGGTGACAGCGTGATTTGATCCAAGTCTATGATACAATCAGTTAACCTTATCAACCAAACCAATTGGTATTGGTGATTTTTTTCCTTTTCAATACATTTATTTATATGTTTTAATCTATTAAAGTAGTGTTTGAAATCATGGTTATCTTGTGGATGGTCTCTATGCTACGGGATGGCTATAGCTTTCGGTTGGTTATGGACGAGATTGGCCTACAACATATCGTGGGCTAGCTCCATGCATAACCCAAAATCTCGGCAATGTATATATCTTATGGATGACATTTTCACACTCTATTTTGATACAATACATCTACCCTACATACTTTTTTTTTTTTCTTACCATTGGAAGTTCTCCACTGTTAGCTATTAAAGTGGTGTTTTAATGTTTTATCAATAAATAATAATTTTTATTTTTTAAATTATTTTATTATATTTTTATTAAAATTAATATTGATTAGTTAATATTAATTTATCGATATCTTCTTCAATTTATTTATTATATAAAATACAAAAATTAGACATTTATGATCGACTGTGTAAATCACTTCATAAGATGCATATGAAATAAAAAAATATAGTGTGGATTACAAAACACCACTATGAGTATCCACAACATAAAACGAATGGATTTCAAATAGGGTAACGCCTAAATGACTGAATATTTTGAATTGATTAATACAAATTGCAAGTTTTACCTCAATCGTTAAATTTGATGTTTTTTATATAAATGCTTTTTCCACCTGAAATGACACTCATGTATGATGTGACAACATGTATATATTTCTCACAAATTTGTAATAATCAACCCAATATCTCCTTAGTCAATGGTCTAATTGGTTTCACCTGATCGTGTTTATAGCTGTTATGTGAGCTGTCCAACCAATCCAGTGCCGACAAAATTCTCAGTTTACGATTCATATTTTCTTGTTTTTTTTTTGAAAATGATCGTTTTTTGATAAATAATTTGTCGTCGCAGATGATGTACGAGAGCATGAAAGCGAAGGTAGAAGGTGTGATGGAGAGGAGAGGTGGACCGGTCGATGACGTCATCACCAACCACCATCATCGCCAGGCTTTTAATAAATGGACGTCCGGATTTACACGTCGAGATCATCCTACAATAATTGAGGTCTGTGAACTCTTGATTTTAATGTTATACCATCATGAAAAAACGCCGTCTTTCTGGAAAACCACAAACTTCGGGTTCCGTGGACCTGCTTTCATAAATCATCATGGAGAAGGAGAACGCATACCACACCAATAAGGGGCTTTCCGGCTGCGGTGTGATTGCAGTTCATTCTCATAAGTCATATCATATATTTTTTGAGATCGGATTCAATCCTCAACTCCTCATAAAGCCGTTGCTCATGTTGTATTTACAGCCGCTTGAAACTGTGTATTAGGAATATCTATTTTTATTTATTGGAAGATATTCTTAATTCCCAGCTACAAGTTTCTGTTAATACCATATGAATTAATTCACATTAATTGAATGCTTTACCTGTATGGCAGGTTGTGAAACCTATGATAGCGCCCAACACCACACCAGTAATAAAATATAGTGAAAATGACGTTGGGGAGCTGTCTGTTCGTACTTTTTTGTTATATGGATTCATACCGAGAGGTTGAATGATTGTGGGGCCTGTGAACAGTTAAAGTGAGAGGGAGTTCAACATTTTTCGATTTTTATTCACCTCGGAAAGGGGGCAATGGGTAGTATTGATAAAAATAGCTCATTTTGGTCCATGGCACCTTCTACTTGGTTGTCTTAAAAATCATAGTATGGATAAATCCGCATTATATTGTAGCTCATCTTCGTAAATTTTCATTCACATTAGTTGATCCACTATAATATACTAGTGGGACCTGTGCGATGTATAGGCTTTGCTGAGAGAAAGTTAAACAATACAAATACATAGGAGTATATAATTGTTTTATATTTTAACATTTTAATAACCAATCTGATCGAACTCAACTCGAGTTGGTCGGCTTTCTAGTATTTCCAGTCGGCTTTGATTTAGTAATTTCCCAACTCAAACAAGTTAGGTCAATTTCGATTTGGCCATTTGCAAACAGACCAAAACTGAACCGACCTGACCATAGATATATATTAATATTTTATATTTTAAATATAATTTTTAATACCAAAAAAGGGAAAATTCCCATATTTCTTAGTCTAAAATATTTTATATCATAAATTTATTTTTTCATTTATTTTGTTAATAATACCACTATAATTTAATAAATTTTAATTTTAATTTTAAGCTTAAATCTTTTGAACAAACAAACCAAACCGAAAATAGAGTCAAACTGGTACAACCCGAGTTGGCGGGTTTTCACTAATTGTTAGTCGGTTTCGAGTGACAAACTCCTTACCTGACCAGGTTGATTTGGTTAGCGAAACAACCTACAACCGAATTGAACCAATCCTTGAACACTCCTAATTTTGGTTAAATTAATAGTTTAATCTCTAATAAATAACAATAGTTTAAGCTCTAATAATTATTGAAAAATTATAGCAAAATACACATTAAAAATAAATTTATAATAAAAATACAATAGATATCAAACAAAATACAATAAATACTGAAAATATATTAAATTAGTCAATAAATAATGTAATCTCAAATAATAGTTTAATCACTAATAAATATTAATCAATAAATTATAAAAAATACATAATTACAAAAAAAAATTTATAAAATTCAATAAATACAATAAATTAAATATCAAAATTTAATAATAGTTGTTTAATCTCTAATAATTTTCTGTTAAATAAAAAAACGAAAATAGTTTTATAAATAATTATTGAAAACATATTTATCAAAAAATACAATAAATAATTACTAAAAATACAAAAGATATTAATTTTAGTATATAAAAATATATAATGAATATACACTATTATTGTAAAATTTTTACTGAAAAATATTAATTTTTTTTTAAAGTTATTTTCTATCATTATTAATTGATATTTAACTTAAATTAGTTATTTACAGTATTATTTAGTTATTTAAATCATATTGTTATTTAAAATTTAAAATATTAATTATTTATTGAATTTAATGATTTGTAAATTTATAATTAGTACTATTATTCCATAATTTGTTATTAATTTATAAAATATTAAATTATTATTAATATGAAATATATTTTAATTAATTTTGTACTTTTAAGATATTTTTCAAATTTATTACATAATTTCATTATTTTAACTATTTAAAATTTAGTCATGTTAAATATTTCGTTATTTAAATATTTAAATAATATGTAAAATATTTATAAAATATCATTATTTAAATTTTATTTATTTTAAAGGTATTAAATAATATTAAATATTTTCTTATATATTTATTTATTTATTTTTAATGTTTTGTTATTTAAGATATTTATTTATTGAAATATTTAAATAATTTTTTAATTTTTGATCATTATTATTTGGATAACATCTAAATTGAATAATTTGTAAAATTATAATGTATATTGTTACTACATAATTTCATGATGAGTTTTGTAAAAATATAGAATTATTAATAGTATGGATATTATTAAATCTATTATAATAAATTTTTGTGTTTTGAATAAATATTTTAAAGTTAGTATATACTTTTGTTTATAATATTTAAATAATTATGACTTTTTTAATTGAAACTTTCTTTAGATAGTTGAAGATAAAAAGTGGGGAGAGGATAAATAGGAATTAGAGATAGTTTATGAGAGAATGCCTCTGCTAAATTAGAGACAATTTAGGAGAAAATGAGGGAAAGTGGAGCCACTTGGCTAAACATTAGAAAAGCAAATCCCTCTTTCTTTATAGATTTTAGAAATAGTTAAGCCTATGTTATTTCCTTATTGGTTCAATGGGTAATTATGAGGAATTAAGAAGTAAAAAATTCAAAAAGGCAGGAAATTAGGAAGGGGGTTTGGAGCAAGGAGAGGCATGGTGACGTGTGTGTATATATATATATATATTTATATTTATAGATTCAAACTTTTTATAAAATTTTGCAATAAATGACTAAGGTCTTTTTGTTATCAAGGAATTCACACCACAGTTAGGGATGCAAACGGATCGGATTGGATTCAAATAAGGGTATATTCAAATCCAATCCGATCCAATCCAAAGATTCAATCGGACCTGATAGGACTCGATTTGAATTCAAATCCTATTGGTAAGTTGAATCTTCGGATATGATCCGACCCGACTTGTTTTCTTTAAAAATTAATATATTATTACAAAAAAATAAAATATATTAATTTAAATAAAGTAAAAACAAAAAAAAATACAAGTATTCTTTTAATTATTTTCRTCATATATATACATGTTTTTTATAAAAAATAAATAATATAATAAATTTATAAAAAATATGTTTATAAATAAATAAATAACATATATATTATATATATACTTATAAATATATAATATTTATCGGATCGAATCTTCTCAAATTGGATAGGGATGATCCAAATCCGTTCTGATCCAAAGATCTAAACAGGGGTGGTCCAAATTCAACCAAATAAGATTGGATCTCGGATCGAATCATGATCTGATCCATTTACACCCCTCCACAGTACATAACACTTACAAAATTTGACATGGCTTAGTAGGGCCCAACAGATCAGTCCAAAATTTGACATGGCTTAGTAGGGCCCAACCGATCAGTCCATAGCATGCAATTTCACTATCCGCAAATACCAAACAACCMCTAGATTTCACTTGCACATAATTGCTCTACCCTATTCCTGTTTCATCTAAACCGAAAAAAAAAAGACTCATTGCTTAATTAGGTCTACAAACGATCAAATTGAATCTGATATAGCTAGATTTAAATTTGATTCATCTTATTCAAACTTGAATTGTATTTATATTGGATTCTATATTTGAATTCGGATTGTAATCAAATATTATAAATAAAATGAACTAGAAATAACTTTGAAATTGTATTTCATGAACAAAATGAGTAAAAATAACATGTATAAAATTTTGAACTTAAGATATGACAATTTAGTAAAATCAAAAGATTTAAACCAATTTTACGAATAAAAGCAATATAGATCTTAAGACATGATACATATAATGTCACGTGTGACTTAAAATATTTAAAATCTCAAAATTATCCTTTAGAAAAAAGATATTTATTGTCTTCTTCCTTAGAATCAAATCCCAAATTCACCACCGGTTCACTTTTTTTTGGGTAAAATACAAAAACCTCCCCTAAAGTTTTTGATAATCATAAAAACCTCCTCTTTAGTTTCACTTTAACAAAATCCTCCCCTAAATTTTTAATAAAATGAACAAAAACCTCCCTTCCATCACAAAATCCTCCTCTAAATTTTCCAAAACCCATTTTACCTTAACCAAATCAACAGCAACACATCCAAAATCGCTACCATCCATCTCTCACCGTTAAATCTAACAGCGCTGTTGTCGTCAGCCACGGTTTGATCAGACAGTTCACCATTCAGAGACATGGACTCTGGTATCGGTGGTGACACATGCTTCGGTGCCTTGGGAGACTTAGCAACTATAGGCGTCGGTGTTGGAGCCAACATTGGCACTGGCATTGGCGAAGCCTTGAATAACTCCTTGAGTAACAACACTTTGTCAATTGTGTAAATCGCTAGAGGATGCTAGTCTAGCAACATATTTGTTATCTTGGCTGTCGCAATTTTCTCCAATTTTACCAACTCATGCGTCATTTTGAATTGTGGAATCATACTTATTGGTAAATAGGAATTCCGTGATACAACAACAACAAATTCTTCCTTGTATTTGGGCACGAAGTCCTTAAACACCTGGTCAATGGGGCAGAACACCGTTAACCCTCCTTCAATGTTGTTGTCAAATATCTACTTAGCTTCAGAAGCCACTAGCATATTGCGAAAACCGTACACTCTCACTTTGACATTAGAGATGTGAGGTTTAGCTGGCTAGGGCCCAGAGTGGGGACTTCGTCTTCAACGGATGCCATGACCTTGCCGTGGTTGGATTCAGCTCCAAAGCCGATCTTACTACCTTTGRGATTGGTGATGTTGACGAAGTTAGAAGTGTCGGGGGCGGAACCAGTGGCTAGTGGCTTGGAACATGGTGGCAGTCAAGACCGTACCATTTGTCATTTGATTCTACTTCTGTGCACCGAAATAATTGAGGAGAACACGAAGGGATAGGATGTTTTTGATAATTTGATGGTGTAAATGGAGAGGTGTTTGGACAGGAGGTCTGACATGTCGCCATTGTAGACTACGCAGACCGCGATGGTCTCGCGTTGGTTGATCTCTATGACGAGTTGAGTGACAGCTAAGTATTGATTGAAGATGAAGAATTCAGAGTACTTTATTAGGATGCATGTGATATTGTGTGCACCGGTGACCCCAACTAAGAGCAGGAGGAGAGAGGGTTCCGGTGTCCATCGGGAAGAGCTGCATTATTTGAGTAGAACGAAAATATGGTAGCGGTTTTGGGTGTGTTGTTGTCGATTTTATTAGGGTAAAATGGGTATTTGGAAAAAATCGATGCACTAATCTAACGCTTTTCATCTGGATTAGTGATGGAAGGGAGTTTTTGTTGAATTTTTTTAAAATTCAGGGGAGGATTTTGTTAAAGTGAAACTAAAGAGGAGATTTTTAAGATTGTCAGAAACTTAAGGAGGTTTTTGTATTTTACCTTTTTTTTAAGATGCCTCAATGTCATCTTGAAGTCATTGCTTGGAGTCATAGTCATGAATTCTTTGACTTAGTACTTAACAATCTTGGGCAAATAGAGACAATCTCTCCTCAATATAGGCAATATATGGAAGGGTACTCCGTGCTTCTCATCGGTTGGCATATGGAAAGAGCAATTCAACGGTTTTGTAAATGTATTTGATTGTATATGTAATAGAGGGTAGTATGATAATTTTACTATCCACTATATATAATATCCATTGACGATGTTCAAAGTACATGATCGGTAAATTAAATTAAATCGGATTTTATCAAATTATAATGAGATCAGGACAGAGAGATACAGGGACTAACAAGTAACAAGGGAGACTTTTTCTTTTATCTTGTGAGAGCAGGTTTTGTTGGATAGTGGGACGGATAAGGACATTACTGGCCGTGCAATGCCAAACCTGGTGTACGTCTCCCGGGAAAAAAGCAGTAGTTGGCCCCACCATTTCAAGGCCGGAGCCCTCAACGTCTTAG